AACAAACTCCTGGAAGAGAGGTTCGTGGATTTCAGATGTGAACAAAAAAACAGCGGTTGCAAGTTTCTATGTACTTGAACGTATCCTTGAATTACTTGCCCACACGTGTTTCATATCTCCATTGCTGTTTGCATGCTTTAGGAGAGCAACATTTTCCGCTTTGTGTCAAAACAGAAGATACCGCAATTGGTGAATATCTGTCTTCTATTACAGACTTCTGTTGAACAAAAGTTATCCAACAAAAGTTTGAAATGTGCGACTACTGTATTAGAGATTTTCTATTATCATTTACTACTGCCATTTATTTGATCATTTTGATTTTATATGTGTGATACAAAAGGTGAAATGCAAAATATTTGTATTCACTCAAAACTGACCAGACTGATTTCCTCAGAATTCATTCTTTAAATGTGAATAGTGTTCTTTAGATTTAAGCACGTTGCCATCCTGATCCAATTGCAACAACATCCCAGAGGTCCCACTCCAGACAATTTTAGAATTTTCGCAAAACGCACTTCACGAGCAATAAAAATATTCAAGAATCTGATATTCTGGGAATGTTTATTGAGTATTTAAGTACATTAAGTTCTGGCTTGACCCACATGGCTAAGAGGCAGCCTCCTGGCCTTAGGATCAAGGAGCCTCGACCCCTACTCACATAGAGGAATTAACCAAGGGGGAGCAGCTACAGTGGACATGGGGTGGAGGTGGGATGAGTGGGACAAAGATGCAAGAAGACGTGTGTGTAAGAAATATATATAGTATGAAGCGAAAGTCAGTAATGATTGTGCTTTAAAAAAGCTGGGTGGGATTGGCTTTGTCTATCGTTATCCTTCTGTAACAGAGTCCCCTTGAAAGATGATTTAAAGTTGTGTGGTAATACAACTCTGGAGCCGTGTGTGTCGATAATCCTAAACACTCTGTCCGCTAGTACTGTTGCAACATGAGTTTTTACGCCAAAACAATTACCATGCTGATTAAATCATGTTTGACATTCGTGAATAAAACAAATAAACCTTAATAAGTTCTCTAACATAAGGCTCCTCTCTAAAGCACGGATGTGTGTAACTAATTATTTTGGGAGATCCTGAATGCCATGGTGTGACTAATTAAAGACGCACTGCAAAAACACTAGACAAACATGAGGACAGCGTCCTGGTGGACTCTTTCCTTTCTCGCTGCCATATACACCGAGACTCTTCACTGCACATCACTGCGGGACATGGGGCTGGGCTGTCCGAGCCTGATGAGGGAGGTTATCAAACCCCCCCTGAGGGGGGAGCCTGAGGACTCAGAGGTCCAGTGTGAGTCGTGACGGAGGGGATAAATTACCTCCTGGGGAAGCTTTCGAGGAGCACAGGAGACGGGAGGGGAGAAAATGTGATTGTTTTTTTTGCATTTTTCTTGTTGCTGTATCGCCCCCTCACCCCCACCCCCACCCCAAAACTTAAATTTCAATCTTTGTTGTTTTAAAAAATAAAGATCTCAAACAACTATGCATTTATGCGGTCTTGCAAAAATTAAACTGTACAAAACATTTGCACATCTAAACAAGGGGGTGCTTTAATTGATTTGTATGACTTCAGCCAACTTACAAAGCTGTATTTTACTATCCAAAAGAAAACCATATGTAAAATTATGCAATAATGCTTTAATTTCCCCCTTTGTAAAATTAATCACGTTATCTTCTCCTGACAGCCAGCAATATTATGCTGAGATTTGGCAAGGTCTGTTTGCATTTTTCAGTGGGAACTGAACAGCCTTAGGTCTGCATTGCTGAAGGGAAATTCACCCCCAGTCGTTCTCTGGCACTTCAACCACACAGCTTCAAAACAACAGAGCAACAGCACACCTGCACTGAATCTCAGCCTGTCACCCGAGCACAGACATCTACTTGCAAGCACATTTCCCCAACTTCTGCGACCGTTAAGACTGTCAGTGTTGCCTGTACCCGAGATCATCGTTGCTACATTCTAAGGTAATCATAAGAAACAGAAAATGCCATGAGAATTTAACGCAAATTAAAAAATGGAAATAACTGTGTAATATGAATCAGTCCCTTATTTTGCTTTTCTCCCCACAGTACTCTAAAGGAAGCAAAAATTTCAATTAGTCATTATCATCACGATCTCAAACACACAAACACAAAAAAAAACTGTTTTCCTGGCAGTACGCTGGCAGTTGTAAATAAACTAATCAGGTTTTCAGAACTTAATCTCACCTCAGGACAGAGCAGGCCTGGGCTTGTGAAGCCAGTTACTGCTGAAATGGCAAAGTTGGGAATAAGGTGCCTCTGTTTCCCTACAGGCTATAAATCCATATCAGACCCCTGGCCTGGGGATAGGAGCTTCAGAGCTAACAAAGACGTTTGATGGCTTTTAGTGCACATGCTACTCCAGTGTTTCTCTCCAGACAGTATCCCGCTGAAGAAATGTATGTGTGTTTGAGGGGCTCTCCATTTCTGTTTCTCTAAACCTACGATGTCTCTTGACAGGTTCACACTTTTAATTTTTTAACAATCATTTCATAAAAATGGGAAACATTCTTGTCCTTGGTCCAGTCTGCACTGACCAGAGGCGTTCAGACATGATTCACATGACACAGCCCTTCTGTTTCAACCATAAAGCTCATCAAGATTTTCTTGAAGCTCAACATACTGGCACTGCAGTCAAGTAATACCGATTTACTGAATGAAATGAATATATTTACACCAAGAACATGTAGTTGTCAAGGTCTGGAATGCTGCATCATTATTTTGAGATCTCTAGAAGATATAAATATATATATTTATTAATATACTGTACATGTAGACCTAACTCCAATATTCATTAGTTAAGCTTCTTTTTTCTTGTCAGACAAACTGAATCTGCCTGGAATCAGATGTAGATAATGATAGAAAGGGAAATGCCTTTTTTTAAACAAAAAACAGCCTGTGTTTCCTATCAGACCGTGTTCAAGAGTTGCTGTAGTTGCTGGTGAATGTCAAAGTTAAAAAGATCAGTTTTTTTAAAGGCAGCATGTTTCCCCTTTCGTCAAAGGGCAGAGCTAGTACTTTTCTGACTCAACTCTTCCCACTCTTTATTTCCCCTGCATGTAATTAGTACCATCTTACTTAGCAAGAAAAAGGAGAAATAAGCAATTTTATGCAAAAAAAAGTGTTATTGTTGTCCTAAAAAAGTATAACAGGATAAAGGATTTTACTAATGTTTCTACAGTAAGTTTATAAATCGTGTTTAGAGTTAAAAAGATTATAGCGAATAACTAAAAATATAGTAAAGATTTTAGAGAACAGCATGAGAGGTCAGTATGGGGAGTTTCTAGTGCGCTGTTTCAATAGCCTTCCACAGCGGAAAGAAAATAAATTTCCTGTTGCACCAGCTAAAACACAAGATAAGGGATAGGCTTTAATTAAAAGTAATAAAAATTCCTCTGCGATGATTTTTTTCATGGTTATTTTTTTTTGTCGGGTCTTCGTTATTAATTTAATTGGTATGAGCAATAAGCAGCAAAAATAATTGCTTTTTGAATAGCATAAAAATGTGAGAACTGGTGTAGGTTTTCGTAATTCAATTTAAAAATGTAGCTAAAGTACACTGATTATCAGCAATTCTTCGGCATCAGCAGTTTGCAGAGATCCTGCAGCAATTTATTTAAGCGCAGCAGGTTGTGGTCAGTACCACCTCCACCACAAACCTTTTGCTCCACCGCGTTTGATGTTTCAATCTGGGAAACCGTGCCTGCTTGACATTAGCGCAGCGCCACTAATCAGGCGCACCCTGCGTGCCTCACTACCCCTAATAATGCCCCTGGCACATCGGCATCCGTTTCCGGGCTGCCCGCTTGTTCTGCTCCTGCTTTTCAAAGTGTCTGTGGGGGGACAGCACCGCGGGAAAGGGGGCTTTATTGAGTTAAAACGTTCTCACTGGGAGAGGTATACAGCTGTTTATGAACAGTAGGATGGTAGATTACCCCTTGATGGCAGACGAAGAATAGACTGTACATCCTTTTAAGATCGCTCATTACGCTTAGTTTATTATTCTTTGAATGCCGTTCAGACCAGCCTTGTAGGAAATTGACACAAGTCAGCGGTGGAAATAATAAGGAATTCAGCAGGATAACTCCATGAGACATCACTGTAATAAAAACAGACGAAGAGCCTCTTTGTTTCTGCAGCTCACCGCCCTCGCCACAGTATTCTATCCCTTTTCTGGTAAAAGTTAATTATACTAACATGGTATAACGCATTTATGTTTTAAGGCGTTACAGTAAGATTAATGCCTCCGTTTCTAATACTACATGATTGTGGGAAAAAGGACCCAAAAGCTTTGAAACCCCCACGCCGCCTTGTCTCCGGCGAGTGAGCTGGTTTTGTTTGAAATGCAGATACTGTGAATGCTTGTTCCGCATCTTAATGATGTCATACGCGTTTCACCTGAATTCTGCCATTCAGAACGCATACACCTGACCGAACTACACGTGTTATCAATTAACAGATTTAGGCAATTACTCATTTACCATTCTCCTGTGGACCGATTAATTACGATATTGCTTATATCTATATAATTAGGGGTCGTGTACAGTATAGCACAGTGAAACGGGGCTGTGGTGGCAGATAATACACCAGCGTAAGTATAGCAATGAAAATGTAAAATTATGTTTTAGTGTCGTGGTAGTATTTGGGGGGAAAAATCGCCATTTGGCAATGAGTGCAACAGCACTTGAGAGAAGCTGGAACTCGCCGTACTCAGTTACTTAAGTAAACAGTCAACATTGAGCAGTCTTTCTCGATAAAAGAACTTTCCAAATCTTTCCCTGTGAGATCTCAATCATAACTTAGCCATTTTGCCAAGAATCTGAAACATTGTCCAGTTCCATGCATATTTACCAAACAACTCGCAAGAGTTCAGGATAATCTTGAAATTAAAGCAACAATAAAATAATTGATCCCCTGCATTACCGGTTTTGTGTCTACAGGATAGTGTTGTAAGTCAAATACTTACCCAGCTGTGCTTGCGACGTGTTTATTTGCATCCAAAATATCCGCAAAATACATGAATATCCAAAAAGTAAAAACCGCAACAAGTCAGAAAGATGTTCCATTATACGACTTCTTTTAGTTTTTATTTACTGATGACATGCGTTGACTGAAAGTATAGTGTCCCATTTGAAACTTTTTTTTTTTTAAAGTCAGAGAACCCGCACGGTCTGCGCACAATGCTTGTGTGGTATTAGCGATGTGCTGCTATCCTGCAGAGCGCTGTGGATATTTCCTTTTGCATATTATTATAAGTTTAGTTTGTAGGAAGTTGAAGCCCCTCTGTTTGATAATGCCCAGAACAGACCGCAGACAGCCCCGGACAGAAAATAAAAGCGCGTTGTTTCCCTAGGCGCTAATTATCTGAATTAGTAGTTGTACCCTGTGTAATAAGAGCTCACAGTCGCTAGAGTGACGGCACCACAAACGTTTTGGAGCCTTCCTCACATCTGCAACACCAGCCTGTTGAGAACCTGTTGCTATTTCAGATACTAAATTCTGCAGCAAAACTAGTTTAGAGACCGGCATTAAGAACGGTTTATCGACTTGGTAAAACGGAAAACAAATGAATTCAAGAGGCCCGGTGTGGCATATAGAGAATTCGATTCTAAGCAGGCTTTTCATTATTATATACTAGACTTGTTTTTAACCTTATTATTGGCCATATACTGTATATGCACTACAAGCGTTTACACAAAATGTAAAATGTTTTTAGAGAAGGGTGTTGCAATTTGTATTGTACAAGTGGCATGGAAATCACAGCTAGGATACCTCTGTCTTTTATTCAGCATGTTTTCGGACAGTGGCAGAGAGAACTTATCCTTGTGCTCACACCCATGGCGATTAGCATCAGCAGCTTACTGAAAACCAGCAAACAAAGCTTATGCTTACTCACATATGCTGTACACTCACTCTGGCAGACACCGAGAGGACTCAGGCTGGGGAAGAAATACTGCAACTGTGGCCACTGTGATAAAAACAATTCACTAAACCAACATACTGTGCCCAGTGTCCCTGCCATTAATGATTTGAAGCCATGTCTCAAGAGCACTCCAGTCAGGTCCCCGCAGAGGGCAATACTGTAAGTCTGGGGAAGTCATGGGCCGTGCAGAGAGTGGACACGTGAAAACGATGTGCTACAGGAAAGGACAAGGCGGAAGGAATGAGTCTGGTCGTCTACAGGTAATCCCAGATGTTGCTTTTTCTTAATTTACACTCTGCAAATCCATCCACCCATTTTCTTACTGCTCCATCCAATTCAGGGCTGTGGTGGAGCTGGGGCCTATCCCAGCCAACAACGGGTGCAAGGCGGGATACACCCTGGACTGGCTGTCGGTCCATTCACATGGCACACACAGACACACGCACACTCGCACCAGGGCCATCTTTCCCACAAACCATAACCTACCAGTATGTCTTTGGACTGTGGGGAAACAGCATCCAGAGGAAATCACTGCAGCACAGTAATGCTAACCACTGCTCCAGCATGCAGCCGAATCTGAGCATAGTTGCTTTTATCGCTACTGCAATTAAAATGATGGAAATATTCTGTGATATTAATCATATAAGTACAAACTCCATAAGTACTGAACAATAATATAGTATAGGAATAAGTAAAAGGTTTATCCATGCTGAAAATTCCTTTGCAGCTTACACATGCTGAGGCAGCTACAGTACCTTCTTATATTATATAAATTATTATATAGTAAACCTACTATAATAATATAGTATAGTTCATTGACATATTCGTGTTTCTTTTAAGGAGCGATTAGACATTGAGTTTCTGACTATATTATCATTTAGGAATTTCTTGACTATATTAATTCTGGTAGAGGATGTCTAAATATAACTCTCTTGAAATCTCAATAAAACCTACCACCTGTATTTCCAAGACATGGTATCTGTTATGTTATATTTAAGGGAAACAGATACAATGGGAAGATTAGAAAGGAGATTCGTGAAGCACATGGTCTGTTTTGCTCCAAGGCATTTTAAAACACATGTTCATCAAGCAAAGACAGCCTGGAATTCCACCAGCCATGCAGCGAAGTAACTCTGTCCTTTCCCAGTCTTTTAGGAATACATCTTCTTGGAATGCTTTCAGGTCACAGATGGGTTTGCAATTGAATCATTAATTTAAAATGTCCGCTTCAGTAATCCCCTGAAATCTCTGTATAATAACACTGCGAGCTCTATTGGATTAATGCATAAAAGATGATAGCCTTTCTCTTGTGTGCAAACTGAAATAGTTTGGATCTCATTTTAAGTTCCTTAAGCTGGGGGCTGGGTGCTGTGCGTGTTGGGAGGGGTGACTGAAATTAACCAAGCCAATGAACACAGTGTGTCCCGTGTGCTGCCTGGCAGGGCAGCACGCTCGTGAGCCAGGCATTGTGGGTAGCATAGACGTGGGAGGCTACGCCATCAGGAATGGCATGCCGCTAATTTATCACTTGCTGTCTGAGGGCCATGTGGATCGTTGTTCCCTTGGCTTATTGTCAGAGACAGACAGGAAAACCCACAATGGGGCAGGGCTGGCCACTTTTCAGGATAAACTAAATCTGCAATCTGAGTGACAGATATTGACTTTGATTCACCAAAATTCCTCTCTCACACACTGGAAGTGCCTGATATGTATGTTTGATTTAGTGGCAGTAGAGCCGAGACACGTTTAAACTCCGTTTAGTAAAGCAGGAATGGCACAAAAAACTGAAATCAAAATGTAAAGAGCAGTTTTGTGTGAATGCTGATCAAGTGCCCATGCACTGGCCCGTGAAGAAATCCTAAGTCTAATAAAGGAATTTCTGTGAGTTTTCCGGTTGTTCTTTACAATTTACATGCATCTTAAATAGTTAATACATCTTGCTGTGGACAGTTAAATTAGTATAATAGCACTCACTTTCAAGACAGATGTACTCAGGAGAGCAGAAAGAACTGAAATAGCATAAATATTTCTCTTAGACACCCATCCCTTTGTTTTATATTTTACAAGTCCTGTCTCAAATAATACATGGTTGTTACAGAAAAGCTGTTCTCTGGTACATGAAGAATGTGGTGTACAAATTGTGCCTTAGAGATGAGCTTTTGAAGAGGTCTTATGGTGGAGTCTAGTTGCCTCATTAAATAGTCATTAATTAATAAAAGAGCACAGCCATTTGCCAGTATTTTATGAGACAGAGAAATTACAGTGAGGCTCTGTTTTTTTTTTTTTAAATGTGCATTGGGAAATAAAATGTACAGTATGTGCTGTGATGATGCTTCTGTAATGAAGATTGTAATTGGAAAAAATAAGAAGGAAGTAAAACATTTAAATCAAATTATAAATTTTATCCTTTACAAAAAAGAGGACATAACAAATGCAAAAGATTGTCATACTTGATCATACAGTACTTAAGAGATTACTCAGATGTTTCTTGTGTGTACTGTATATACAGCATTGCAGAAGTTAGCAAAACATCTTTATTTGCTTCTTGGAAAGGATTCTGAATTGTGCAAGGCTGCTCTGAATTGTGGAATGCTGCTTGTAGAGAGCAACCTATCACCTTCTTTCTCAAAAGACACTGAAAAACTGATAATGTTGAGTATTTTTAACTGTCTTTGCAAGGCTATAGCTACATGTTTACTAAAAAATGCTAACAACAAATTCTCAATGTTATACAGTAATCCTAAAAAAAGCATTGGTTGGCTAGTCTATAAAGCATCTAGTAATGGTACTGGTCAGCTATAAAAACAGTTGCATAATTTACTATTAATTAATTTCATATTATAAGATTCAGACTGTAGTCAGGATTAGGGATGTTACTAGTATTCGGATAGCAGGTGCTGTAGCCAATTAGGCTGCTGTCTTAAGTAATCAGATCCCGGATGTAAGCAAGCACTTGAATAGGAGATCTGTAAGGGATGACAGTTTCCTGGTGATACTGGTGGATCAGTAGATGATGCTTTTGATTCTGGGTCAGAATTTGTAATCCAGTGCCCCAGTATAGTGATCAGGGACACCACACTGTTGAGGTCCAGTACCATGCATTGGAAGATACATTTAGGTCCAGACTCCTCGGTCATTACAACATTAAAGATCACATTACATTATCAGGCATGTCAATTTCTTCCTTAACTATACTGGTAAAAGCAATTTCTTATTCAATGTCTAAGTAATGATAGTTTTTGTGTAAGTAATTTTGTTTATAAATTCAGAAGACAATTAAAGAAAAAGTCTGTAAAAACTTTTTTTGCTTATAAAGTGAGACATACCTGTACAGTACCTGTATATTGTGTAATTATTATACTGTTTACATATAATTTGTAAGATGTTGTTTAATTACAAAGATAAGACAGACATCTAATTCAAATTGATACAATTTCCTTTTTATTAAATTGAGTTATACCATCTTTAATCAAACAGGTCACTGTAAAAACTGTCCAACTGCATCAGGGAAGACAAGGAGCATTAAAATACTCATTCTCACCTGCTTTATGACCATTAGCTCCCTGTCCCTTCTGTAACTACTGTCTTTTGTTCTCCCTAGCTTCCTTTACCTGCTCTTTTCTCTCCCTCCCTCAAACCTGAAGAAGGCTCCAGAGCCTAAATGAAATTCTCTTTTCTTTTCCTTTCAGCGTGGAATACACCTTTACCTGTGACAAGTACAGGTGCACAGCAGGGTTTTTTTGTTTTGACAATAAGTGGGAATGTTTTACAGATCATACACTGGATAATATATAATTTGAGTGTGTTCTTTTTTTTTAAATGCATTATCTTGGTAGTGTCTCTGAATCAGAGTGATTTGGAAATATTGTAGGTATCTAGTGTGATATCCACATAAAGTTAAAGATTTGTTATTTCATTTGAAAGTCTATTGCTTATGCAATCCACATATGAAAGAGCAAGGAGTTTTACTTGTGAGATGTTTAATACGTATTAAGGGATTAACAGAACAGAGAACAGAATTTGGATGGAAACAAGCTTCACGAAGTATTGATTATACAGTGGAATTAAGTAGGATTTATATGCAGGATTTACTTATATCCCTTAACATCACAGGCACACTGTCAGCCAAAGGGACCTCATCTGGCATTTACATTGGCTGATAAACAAAAAAAAAAACTTTTGTTTCAGTACCATAATAATGGTAGCCTAGCTTTAAACATGTGAAACTCAGTCTGCACTATGTCCCACAGGCAAATATTTTTTTTTGTGTTCTGAACAAACACAATAAGATAACCCTGTTCCAAAAAGCAAATATCTAATGATGTTCTGTCAAATTTTAATTAAATAGTTTTACTATTTAATCTAATGCAAATCATA